CAGATGCATATCCAGCCATGAGCCACACCAGGTTCACCAAGGGTGGGACGAGGGGCAGGGGCATTTGCGCACACTTTCTGGGCCAGCCCCCAGACTCTGGTTTGGAATGTCCAGGACCCGCCAGGCTGGTGCTGATCACTAGCTGTGTGAGGTAAAACTGATGGCCTTAATGGGACCTCTGGCGTCCTTTGTGGCCCACAGACAGTCAGAGACAACCACCAAACAAGGTTACTATAAATTACATCAAAGTCATTTGGGGATGGGACCTTCTTTCAAATGACGTGGAAAAGAATGACAGGAGAGCCTACAGATTTCAGAATATTTCAAAAAATAACACTCGTGATGGGAAATAGAATCCACATAAATAAACAGAACTGAAAAGGCAATTAAAGAAAACATCCCCTCAACTTCGACTCCTTAAATATAATCTACAGGCAGTGTAGGAGGGGCAGGGAGCGAGGGAAGCTTCCATCTCCCCAACAATTACAAAGTGATTTGTTGGGGAGGTCACAGGGGCCCCAGTTTGGGCCTGTTACAGTTCACTAAGCTCCACTAAGCTTGGGTATTAGGAGATCCTTCATTGGAACATTTGTGTTGAGGGAAGGAGGAGGAGCAAGGGAGGAAGCTTCTTTTTTTTTTTTTTAAGCTCTGGAGCTGCCTGAGGCCTGGTCTAAATCTTGGGCACAATTCTGTTTGTCTTCCTTCGCTATTCACGTTGCTGATGTTCCGGGCATTCTCTGCCCCATTGCTCGGTGTTTGTTTATGGCAGCGAAGTAGAAAATTGTAATGTCTGCAATTGTTACTGGTTTGCTGATTGTGTGACCACCTGGTCTGCTGGATCCAGGACAAAGGCAGTAAAGTCCCCCCCTTAAAGCTGAAGCTGTGTACTTTAGGAGGAAGAAGAGAAGGGGATGTTTGTCCACCTTTTGTTTGTGTCTGTGTGCTGTTTTGTAAAGAAGCATTTAAAGTGGAAATTATTTTAATTAAAACAATAAAACCCCCTTAGCACACTTCTAGTTTGCAGTGGAAGGCTGCCTTTTTTTTTTTTTACAATGAAATGCCCTGAAACTGAGGAATTCCTCAGTAAACAACTTCATACTTGATTTGCCATGTATGAAGTTGGATGGGCCGTTTCCAGATGTTTTCCCAAAGACCCTATGCCCTGAGGTACAGTGACTCTGCTCTAAGACATCCCCCTGGTCCGCAGGAACCCCACTGCTGTTTCAGCAGATGTTTTTTTTTTCCATTTCATAGAATGCCACATTCACCATGCACGTTTCATCCAGAGAGGCTGCTAAGATGTTCAAAGGATTCAGAATTACCGGCCCACACCGCCCCCCACCCTCTGGAGTCATATTAATGACTAATATTAATATTAGTCACAGAAAATATTTAACATCTGTCCTGCCATACCACCCAAAAGTTTTAAATTGAAGGAAGATGTGTTTCTTGCACTAAATTACCCAAGGAATTTTCAGAGTAGAGCTCAGTTACCTAGGTTGGCCAGGACACCACTGCTAAAAAAACCCTTCCATGCTTCTAAGTGCCAGGGGACTGTGACTAGACAGAAGGACAGCCCTTTGCTCCTCACCTACACACGGCACCACACAGTACCTGCTTGCTAGCACTCAACTGGCTCTGGCATAGTGATAATAATCATTAATAATAATAATAATAGTAATAGCAACTGGTGTCACTGGGTGCTCACTATACACCAGGCCTTGAGTTCAATGCTTAATGTACATGATTTCATTCACTCTTCCTAGCAACATTAGTAGGTGTGTATTGTTAATCTCCCCATCTTACAGAAGAAGAAAAATATATGAGGCTCCCAGAATCTCGATGTCTAGGCAAAGATCACAACGCTGGTGAGTTAGAATTGAAACCCAGCTTTGTGTGGCTTGCTGCCCATGGTCTCAGCCACTCGGCCAAGGTGTGGCCCCAGTACACGCAGAAAAGCATTAGCCACCTGGTCACCCAGATACAGAGCATCTTACCGAGAACGCGTGAAGGGCAGAACTGTGGGCTGGGGTCAGAAGTGCAGAAGAGAGATGAGTAGCCAATTCTGCTAATAACCGGTCATGCTAACAAGGTGACCGGCGGTCCCAGTTTGCCTGGGACGGTCCTGGTTTTAGCACCAAGAGCCTTCATCCCAGATGTGGTAGGCAGAATTCTAGGATGACTCCCCAAATTCCTGGCCCCTGCTGTACACACAACCTCACCCACTTATTCAATCAAACATTGAAGGTAGGTGTTGCTGTGAAGGGATTTTCCAAGAGCAAATAAGTTGACTTTGAGATACAGAGATGAGCTGGGTGGGCCTGACCTTATCAGAGGAGCCCTTTAAATCTGGGTCTGGAGGTCAGCGACAGAAGTCAGAGAGATTTGAAGCACAGGGGGATTCAACAAGGCTTTAGAGATGGAGGGGGTCATAGGGCAAGGAATATGGGTGGCAGCCCCTAGGAGCTGAGTGGCCTCCAGCTGACAGCTGGCAAGGAAATGGGGATCTCAGCCCATACACTGGAAGAAACTGAAATCTGCCAACAACTTGAATGAGCTTGGAAATGGATTTTTACCCAGAACTTCCAGCTGAGGACTCAGCCTGGTAGACACTTGATTTTCAGCCTTGGAGACTTGGAGCTACCCAGCCATTTGGGTGTAAGCTCATCTGGGTATTGTTCTACGCCGCTAGGTGGTGGTCATTTCTTGTGCAGTAATCGAAGTGCTATACACCAGGGAACCCTTCAGTCCTGGGCACACTGGAGCACTTGGTCACCCTAGAGGAATGGAGGCCCGTGTGTGTGTTGCTGGGAGATCCAGACGGCTTTCTGGCTTTCCGGAGTTAGCGCTGGTACTGTGGGGAGGATTTAGACACAGGGAAGGAGCTGAGAGGCACTTCAAGAGGACGCAACATAAGCAAAGGCAGAGAGGCAGGAATGAGCAAGGAGCATCAACTGCGAGGCTACCAAGGCACCAATTAAATCCTTGAGAGAGTTCAGTGTTTGGGGGCAGAGACTTGGTACCTTCAGCATTTGAAAGGGTCTGTTCCAGAGTCACGAAAATGGAAATGAGATTAGCATCCTGTGACTGCATGTTTTGTTCTGTCATCCCGGCCCTGGCGCAGGTTCAGCCTCCTCCAAGAAACTCTGTACCCCTGGAAGGCAGTGGCAGGGTTGGAGCTGGGTGACCCCCAGAGCCGAGGGCAGGGTCTGGCACATCATTGCGTGTTCAGTAAGTGCTAAGTAAAGACATGGATGAATGGTTTAAGGTGGACAAAACAATCCTACCTTGGGCTGAACCTAAGCCTACAGCCATGTTGTCCCTGGAAATTCCTAAGAGGTTGGCAAGGCTGACACGTCCCATTTTGACCCCGCCTCCTCCTGGACCTGCTCCTCCTGTTATGTATGTGAAGGGGCCTCCCAGGGCCTCCTCTGTGGGGACCTGGGGCTCTGAGGTCCGAAGGCTAGTCTCAACACTGCTCCTTGGGCAAGGAACTTAACTTTTCTGCGCCTCGGTCTTCTCCTGTACGACAAGGGCACAACAGGACCCGCCTCACCTGGTGATTCTAAGGATTCAATGAGTCAGTACAACAGGAGAGCCCTCAGCACAGAGCCCAGCAAAGGGTAATTTCAGGCAGTTTAGTAGTTATTAGGATTCATGTTTACTTTAAGTAAAGACAGATTTGCTGACCAAATTCAGGTAGAGACCCTTTCACAGCCCCACCCCAACCCAAGGGCATTTTCATTTCACTAGGAAGATTCTTGAAATCACAAAAACTTTGAGATGCAACAGGAGGACTGCCTGATGGAGGTGGGTCAGACCCGGGAACCTCCAGAAGGCCCTCCAGAAGGCTGCTCCTTGAAGTGTAGTCGGTAGACAGCATGGGCCACACCTGGGAGCTGGTGAGTGCTGCAGAGTTTCAGCCCTCCTCCACACGGCCCGAATCAGAACCTGCATTTTTCACAAGCTCCCCTGGGAGAGGCACCGGTTGAGACAAACTCCCATCGGCCCTGCATCTGGGCAACGCAGCATCGCTCTGACCTCTCCTTACAATTTGCTCTAAAAGTTAAGTGTTTAAGCACATAGGCGAGCCAGACCACAAAACTCTGAGCTGGCAAGAGAGAACCTCCTTTCTAGGGACAGCTGGCTCTCTACATGTTTCAACAAACTGGCATTATCCAAGAGCTCTAATGGTCTGAAGTCAGGCTTAAAACTCAGCAAAAATAAACTTTCCAGGAAATTTCTGGCACACCCCCTTTTCAAACCCATCATCTCAGGAATGTTATCCAAGCAGTGGCCTCCTTCCCCACTTCTAACTCCATTTCCCAGTTTAGGACAGTTCTTGTTCTGGCCTCGACCTGACAAAATATACATACACAAATGGGAGAGAACAGGGAAGCGAAGCGCATTCAGTGAGGGCTTTAGGGAAGTCCTCGGGAAAGTCCGTGATCTCATTTTGGCACACTTCGTGTCCTACACCTTAAGGCAAATCCCATTTTAAAAGAATATCTTAAATCTGACAGGCATCTGCTCTTGGTCACTGGGGTTCAGAGAGGCATACCTGCAAATAGGAGAAGTAGAACCCACACATCCGCCTTCCTGTGGTCACCATTTCCTTACATCCCAAGCCAGCCGAGCGCTCAAGTCTTCCTTGAGGACCCAGACTCCAATCAGCCGCATCCTTTGGACCCATTCACAAACATTCATATTCATGCGGGGTTGGACTACTGAGTGGCAGCCACTCCAGGGAGTTCGAGGAGGCATGATGCCTTCACCAGAGGAAACCCACAGCTCATAAGGGCGAGGTGTAGATGGAACATTATCAGTCAGGGTCTGTCCCACTTATCTATCAGTGTGTAACGATCCACTCCGATCTTAGCAGCTTAAAGAAGCGATGATTTCCATATGTTTCATAGGATCTGTGGGACAGGAATCAGAAAGGGCTCAGCTGGACTTCTCTGGCTCCAGTCTCCCCCATACTGGCAGTCAGACAGGGGGTGTGGAAGCAGCAGGGGCTGGCCAGCAATCTCTCTCAGGGCTTCCCCAGGTCGTCTTTCTGCGGGAGCCAACTTGAGCTTCCTCACAGCATGGCAGTCTCAGGACAAACTAGGTACACAACCACCCAGGGCTCCAAAGGTGAGTGTCCCACGAGGGTCAAGCAGAAGCTGTATTATCTTTTAGGACTCATTCAGAAGTCACAGTGTCACTTCCTCTTGAGGAAGAATTGTCGGAGTCACACTGTAAGAAGAACACATGGGATGGGAGGTATTGTTTTAACCATCTCTGGAAAATACAGTCTGCAACAGGGTTCCAGCAGAGGCTTAACAAAGGCACTAGTTGCAAAGACACAAGCAAGGTATAGGGAAATAAGAGCTAAGTGAGGTATCCCGGCAGGGCTGGCAACAGAGAAATTGTCATGCCCCCATTTGGAAGGAACAGGAAGAGGGAAAGTTTCCGGGAACTCAAAGAGAAGGGCTCTCTGGAGAAGGTAGGTGCCCTGACCTCACTTGTCCCTCCCTCCAGTCTCCTGCCTGGGCTCCCCATTGGCCAAACCCAATAGGAAGCCCACACTGACCAACCTCTGGGAAGCAAAGCAGAATGGAGAAGAGTGGAGAGTGCATCTCCAGAGGCAAACAGAAGATGCCCAGCGGTAATAAATATCTGCAATACAAGAAAGATTATCATCTGATGCCAATAGAGAAGTATGTAACAGCAGTGCATTTCTGCAAGAGGGAAAGTCTGAGCCGTTGCTATGTAATGTCACAGAAATACAGACGTGGTGTAGAGGGAAAGTTCACATCCCCAGCAGTTCTCTGGATGTCTGGGGTCCCACCGTTTCTCCTGGGGCTTAAGAGGGTCCCGGGATGTTGGGAAGGGAGTTGTCCCCATGGGCAAGCCAGAGAGAACACACAAAGTCTCTGGGCACTAGCAGGAGTGTCCCTTGATGGATGGTCTATGGTGGTGGTCCAACAGGAAGGACAGATGATGTGGTTCCTCAGTATCAACAATGTGACGGGGCGACGGAGACCTGCTGGGATGGAGACTGGGTGGTCTTTGGCACTGTGTGGCCCCCCCCTAGAGCAGTGCTCCCATGACCCCTGAATGAGTCCTCTTCTGTCTGAGTGGTCCATCCGGGCATGGCTCTCATACTGAACTCCATCAACCTCTCTCCCTCATCATGTTCCCTCCAGCTCCCCTCTCCCCACAGCCAGAGAGTCTTGATCTAACCTGGGGGTAAGGGAGCCTGGTTTTTCATCTAGTCTTCCAAACTGGTTCTTTATCATACAAAATGCAAACTCAAAACTCCAGGTTCTTGTAGCTCCACATTCTCACCTTTTGAAACTCAAAAGCCAAGATCTGCATTCTGCATGTGTGTCCCTCCCTTGAAGCACACAGTATGGAAGTTTTAGGGGCTGGGGAGTGTCGCAAGGTACGCGGTGGTGGTGGTGGGTGGAGGGGTGTCATAGAACAAAAGTATGATCACAATTCAAACTAAGAGGTATAAGAACCCCAAATACCACTTAGGGGGTTGACCAGGAAATACTTCATTTGATTCTTCGAAGAATGGATAAGATTTCAACAGGAAGAGCTGGAGGAAGCATTCCAAGCAGACAAAAGAGAAGGATCGTGAAAAATAAAGCACATTCCAGAAAGGACAGTTTAATTTATAATGAGTGTAAGGGTGTTTGCACGTATTGGAAATGATTCTAGAACGGCAGGGTGAGGCCAGGTCGTGAAAGACCTTGAAGGAGACCTTTCGTGTTGCATTTAGAAAGCCACGGAAGGGCACGCACATGGGCAGGGTAACGGGGTCGGAGCCATGCTTTGGGAAGATGGGCACAGCAACAGGGTACAGGAGGTGGGCACAGTGGTGAGGGTGCTGGCCGCCATTTAGGTGTAAAATCATGTGCGCCTCACGCCCATGGCTCTGTCACCATCTGGCTTGCAAGTCCACGGGTTCAGCTGTGGTTTCTCCCCGATTCCAGACCTGTGTTTCAACTCCCTGCAGGGCATGCCCACCCACATTTCTACGTGCTCTTTAGCTCAACCCACTGAAAGACCAACTGTCATTCCCTCTTCCCCACTGCCCCCCATCTGTGGCTCCTCTCCGCACACCGGGCCCTGCATCTTCCCCTAGACGTGCTGAGGCTCCCAGGCCAGAAATCTCATTTTCCTCGACCTCCCCTCCTCCCCCGATTCCCTTCCCCGCCCCCGCCCCGTCCCCCCCAGCTCCGTGGCCCCTTGCACTCTTCGCTCACCGTAGGCAGATCCTTCCAAACCTCCCTTTCTTTCTTTTCCCACTGCCTCCATCTCCTTTTTATCCTTATTGGAGCTGTCAAGGTCAAGCCATCAGCGCTTCTCCCTCTGAGGATGGGTGTCCCTGCTTCTGAACTCAGGGCTCCTACGCTACTAGTCTTCTCTAAACACTAAATCTGGTCATGGTGTTTCCCCTTTTAAAGACTTCCTCTGACCATCCCACAGCCTATAGGATCAGGAAAAAATTCTTTTATCTAGCATGTAAAACCTTCAGAAGCTAACCCCACTTACTCTTCCAGCTTTGTCCCCTGTCCCTGGTGACAGGTAGGAGTTGCTACCTTGGCTCTCTGCTTTGGCCTGGAAGCAGCTGAGTGATGGGATTATACCCTAGCTGTTTGGATTGGAGAGGAAGAGCCTCCGGGCACAGGGAAATCCCAGATGTGTGCGTCAGCTGCGGGTGGCGCAGGGAGGGGAAATGAGACTCAGGAATATCTGCCACCCGGTCAAATAAGGAGGCATATGCTGCCAAAGAAATGTTTGAATTGTCCTATGTTTAAAGACTGGAAAATAGAGGCGCCTGGGTGGCTCAGGTCATGGTCTTGGGGTCCTGGGCTCGAGCCCCATGTACGGCTTCTTGCTCAGCGGGGACTCTGCTTCTCCCTCTCCCTCTGCCCCTCCCCCTGCTTGTGCCTCTCCCCCTGCTCCTGCTCTCTCTCTCTCAAATAAATAAATAAAATCACTAAAAGAAATAAAGACTAAGAAAGAAACAACAGATCGAGGTAAGATCTTATTCTCTGAGGGGCTGCCCCGGTGAGCCCTCAGATGGGTGTTGCTGCAGGTTCCTGCCATAGGACAAAGTAGAAGACTGGAGTTTCTTCCTGCAAGACTTAAAGCCACAGGGAGAGCTTGGGAGGGCAGGTGAACCTTAATAAACACACACTCTTATGAGGAAGAAAGAGAAGAAGGAACTCAGGGCCAATAGCATTGGTGATTCATAACTAATTAAATTGTTTTCTCTTCTCTCTCTGGCTCTATTAAACAAACATAGACGACCTTAGTGAAACACGTTTTGGCTAACTTTACTGTGTGCTGTTACCAGCACTAGAGTCAGGAGACCTGGCTTCCAGTTCCAGGTGTGTCTCTAACTAGCTGGGTGATCTTGGGTAGTCCTGGCCCTTCTCTGAGCCTCGGCTTCCCTATTTATATAACCAAAAGATTGAACTCATTAACACAAGTCCTTATATACTCAATTCCACAGTTCTTCAACTTTAGCCCAGTAAAATATTTCCCCTCTATTTATCTACCCCTGAATTTCACTTTTTTAAATTACTTCATTCTTCCTCTTTATTTTTTCTTTTCATTCTATCTGCTCAGCCAAGCAAGGCGTAAGACTTGTCCAGCCATTTTCCAGACTCTTGACTTGGGTTTACAGAGTATGTTCTGCCCACTAACTCTGTTCAGGAGTGGAACTTCCTTGGCTAGGACTCCAGCAGCCAACAGACCTTGGAACCTACCTGTCTAGGACCCTCTCCAGGCCTGAAGGAGATGAGACCCAGGGACTCTGATGCATGAGATGCCATGCTGGCTGTTACCAAAATGGTAGCATCCTCCAACAACCTTTCCCACTTGAATGATCCTATTTATGAAATTAATGTTTCACAAGGGAAAGTAAATTGAACAGTTATGTAAACTGCCAAAAACAATACACACACACAATACAGGGACCAAACTGAGGCCATGGTAGTCGTTCTGATGGGAAGGAGATCATTCTGGCAGCTCCCCAGCTCAGCAGTCTTGGGGCAGTCTCAATATTTTTACATCTACTTTCAAGATATTCTTGGACCCCTTCCAGGTAATGGACCCCATGATAAGGACCTTGATATTTATATGTTACCGAAGACCAGGATGTTTATTCTTCAAAGGCAAACATCTGGATGAATGAGGGAATTTTCACTTAAGAAATGATGTCTTGACATCACTTTAGCTCAGATGAAATGAGGAACCACTAACCACAACACCCAGGTACCCTTGAACAGGTGGCTAAGTGTACATGGCAGGATTTTTTCATAAGACAAGCCTGTGAATTTGCATCCCTATCTTATGATATTAAAGTGTGTCAGACAGACACCAGCTAAATCTAAAAGAAGCCGGAAAACTAATGCAAACTGAAAATGCCATGGACAATGGAGATATGCCATCCGTTTAGCCTTACTTTACTCACCAATCTCTGATGACATGAAAAAGGACCTGAAGAATGTTTTCAGACAGGTTGTATGAAATCTTTTTCTCCTAAGAATAGTCCTTTGCACATACAGGAATGTTCAGTTTCATTCATTAGCCCCACCTCTTGCTCACCTCTCTTCACCACCTCTGACCTCATCATTTGGCAATATTCGTTGAGCATCTGTTACGTGCCGGGCACTATGTTAGGATGGCACAAAGCGGAACCAAACACAGTCCTGACCTGGGAGGGCTTGTGGTCCAGTTGGGGACAACTACACTTAAACAAAAAATGGGAAATAATGAGACGTACTCCAAAAAAAAAAAAAAAAAAAAGACACATACAAGGGGAACTCAGTCCTATCAATCAAAGAGAATGGTCTGATTTTCTCAACAAACCATAGACTACCAGTGCCAGGAGAGACTTTACGGGTTATCTAATTCCAACCCCTTCATTTTACAAATTGTGCAGTTTTATTTTAAGATTTTATTTATTTACTTGAGAGAGAGAATGAAAGATAGCATGAGAGGGGAGAGGGTCAGAGGGAGAAGCAGACTCCCTGCCGAGCAGGGAGCCCGATGCGGGACTCCATCCCGGGACTCCAGGATCATGACCTGAGCCGAAGGCAGTCGCTTAACCAACTGAGCCACCCAGGCGCCCTACAAATTGTGCAGTTTTAAAGATAGGGTCAAGAGATTACTTCTTCTCTTTTCCTGGTTGATGATTTATTGTATGTTTCTCAAATAGTTTTTGGAGGTAG